GCCATGTGCAGATGCTCCACCGCACTGCTCAAGGACAGGCCACCCGGGGGCAAGTGCAGGGATGGGGGGTGGGGGCGGGGAGCAGGGTGGGCTGGGGACGACGGGTGGCAGCCGGAGGGGAGCTGGCTGTCACAGGGCCTGGTTATTAGCGGGAACAGGACCCCTGTCAGGCTAAGAGACGGCAGCACACAGCATGTCCGTGGTAAACAATTTATTTTTCTACCTCCGTTGCTTACAGAGGGGAGAAAATAAAACGTCGTTAGGGAAAAGCACAGATGGAGCGTTTGCAGAGATGAAGGAAATTCACAAGGGTGGCAGTGCCGGCGAGTGACGCGTCACCAGGGCAAGTTCACCGAAACAAAGTAATTCAAAGGCAAACACAGCGCCGGCCGGGAGCCAGGCAGACCGTAAAAAACAGGAGAAGGCCGGTAGCGATGGATAAGCAAGCCTACGGGGAAATAACCAGACACTAACGGGTGATTACATCAAGCATCTTTAATGAGAGGAGCAAGCCGGGCAGGCTGTGTCCCAAGGGCAATGACATCAGTTCAAATGTGCGGACGGCCCACATGGAAGGCATCGAGGGGGAGCGGGGGTCACTTCTCACAAACTATGGGTGGGGACGGAGGACGTGGGGACTCCCGCCTGGGGACCTGAACTTCATCACTCAGAGGGAGCAAGGGGGCGTGTGCGTCAAGATGAGGGTGTCAGTCGGAAGGGCAGCCTTGGGTTGAGCCTGGCCCAGGAGGGGCCTCTGTGCCCCAGTCCAGGGTGGCAAGGCCAGCATGGGCGGGGAAGCTGGGGATGAAGGGGCCAGGGTGGGGGATGCCTAGGGGCCTGGTCGTGACAGTGCCCGGTGTCTCGGTGTCTCCGCTGTCTCCCTTTCCCAAGAAGCATGGGACGATGGTCAGGGCAGTAGCCTCTGAGGGATTGGCGTCAAGAGAGAAAGGCAACAGACGACATTTATGGAGCCTCTCTGACATTTATGAAGCCTCTCTTTCAGATGGATGCTTTTCAGATGCGTTTTCATACCGCAGTCTGTGAGCGGGTGGGCATGGGTTCATTTGGGGGACAGAGAGGTCTTGGGCCACCAATACTTAGACACACATTCCGGAAGATGCCCCCAACAAGCCCATGATTGGTAAGAATGTGGCCATTCTTCCCAGAGTCCCCCCAAGTCTGTGAGAAGTTTCCCTCTGGTCCCCGATACTTTCCTGCGAGGGACGGGCATTCACAATCAGTACAAGAAGCAACAACGGGAAGGGACGTGCGAACACAATTCTAGCG